CTTCAGAGCGATGCCTTAAATAGGGTGGGGGCTCCAGACCAGCTTCAGAGTGATGCCTTAAATGGGGTGGGGGCTCCAGAGCAGCTTCGGAGCCATGCCTTAAATGGGGTGGGGGTCCAGGCTGTAGTTTCTGGGGAGGAGGGGGGGTATAGGATCTCTCTCTGCCCCACTGGACCTGCCGAGGTCAGAGCCGTGTCTGATGCGTTCGTCCTTTCCACTCTTCCAGTGCGCTACGGATGAGGAGGAGGGCGGCCTGGGCAAGCGAGGAGGCCACGTCGTCGGGCATTGGGGGGACCCTCGGCCTTTGTGGGCCCCCCACGGCGGCCCCTCGGAGGGTGAGTGGAGGCCGGTCCCGAGGAAAGACCAGCCGTCTGTCCCCCATGGACGACAGAAAGAGCCTTGCTGGCCGGCCCAGAGGAGGGGGTGGAGACCCCCAGTCCTGAACGTGGCTGCCCCCCTCCCCCCCTCACTGAGGGTCTCTGTTGCCCACGGGTGGTCCTCCCCGGCCTGCTCCCATGGTCCCTGCTGGTTTTTGAAGAAGAGGCTAGACAGTCACTTGTCTGAGATGGTGTAGGGTCTCCTGCTTGAGCGGGGGGCTGGACTACAAGACCTCCGAGGTCCCTTCTAGATTCTATTCTATTCTAAATTCTCTATTCTCTATTCTGTTCTATTCTTATTTCTATTCTATTCTGTTCTGTTCTATTCTTATTTCTTATTCTATTCTATTCTATTTATTTCTTATTCTGTTCTGTTTTATTCTATTCTTATTTCTTATTCTATTCTTATTTCTTATTCTATTCTATTCTATTTATTTCTTATTCTGTTCTGTTCTGTTCTATTCTATGTTCTTATTCTGTTCTGTTTTATTCTATTCTTATTTCTTATTCTATTCTTATTTCTTATTCTATTCTATTCTATACTATTCTTATTTCTTATTCTATTCTTATTTCTTATTCTATTCTATTTATTTCTTATTCTGTTCTGTTCTGTTCTGTTCTATTCTATTTTCTTATTCTGTTCTGTTTTATTCTATTCTTATTTCTTATTCTATTCTATACTATTGTATTCTATTCTTATTTCTTATTCTATTCTTATTTCTTATTCTATTCTTATTTCTTATTTCTTATTCTATTCTTATTTCTTATTCTATTCTATACTATTCTATTCTATTCTATTCTTATTTCTTATTCTATTCTTATTTCTTATTCTATTCTATACTATCTATTCTATTCTTATTTCTTATTCTATTCTTATTTCTTATTCTATTCTTATTTCTTATTCTATTCTATACTATTCTATTTTATTCTATTCTTATTTCTTATTCTATTCTTATTTCTTATTCTATTCTATACTATTCTATTCTATTCTTATTCTATTCTATTCTATTTATTTCTTATTCTGTTCTGTTCTTTTCTTATTCTGTTCTGTTTTATTCTATTCTTATTTCTTATTCTATTCTATACTATACTATTCTATTCTATTTTTATTTCTTATTCTATTCTATTCTTATTTCTTACTAGCTGTCCTCAGCCACGCGTTGCTGTGGCTCAGTCTGGTTAAATTTACGTCCAACAGATGGCACTTTTTCAAAAAAAAAAAGCATGTTTTTACATGTTTTTTCAAAAAAAAGCATGTTTTTACCTGTCACAGGTGTGGCATCTATATAATAGGTATATAAAAACACGCGCGTATTCGAATGCAACATAGTATCAAATTTTCAAAGCAATCGGTGAAGAACTTTCGGAGATTTAAGATTTTCAACAAACGAACATTTACATTTTTATTTATATAGTTTTCTTATTTATTTCTTGTTCTATTCTTATTTTTTATTCTATTTTATTCTTTGCTCTTCTATTCTTATTTCTTATTCTATTCTATTCTTATTTCTTATTTCTTATTTCTTATTCTATTCTATTCTATTCTTATTTCTTATTCTATTCTATTCTTATTTCTTATTCTATTCTATTCTAAATTCTCTGTTCTGTTCTATTCTTTATTCTATTCTGTTCTATTTTATTCTGTTCTTATTTCTTGTTCTGTTCTATTCTTATTTCTTATTCTATTCTTATTTCTTATTCTCTTCTGTTCTATTTATTCTATTCTCTTCTATTCTATTCTTATTTCTTATTCTATTCTATTCTTATTTCTTATTTCTTGTTCTGTTCTAGTCTTATTACTTATTCTGCTCCATTCTTTTATTCTTTGCTATTCTATTCTATTTCTATTTCTATTCTATTATTTCTTATTTCCTATTCTATTCTATTCTATTCTATTCTATTCTATTCTATTCTATTCTATTCTATTTATTATTCTGTTCTATCCTATTCTATTCTATTCTTATTTCTTCTCTGTTCTGTTCTAGTTTTATTTCTTATTCTGTTCTATTCTTTTATTCTTTGCTATTCTATTCTATTTCTATTTCTATTCTATTCTATTCTTTCTTATTTCCTATTCTATTCTATTCTATTCTATTCTTATTTCTTATTCTCTTATTCTTATTTTGTGGAAGATTCACAAAAAAACCTCCATCCTTGAACTGCTTCAGGGCAAGGGTGACTCTTTTCCAAAATTGTCGCCATTTCCAGCCTGCTCAGTGACGCCCCAACATGTTGGATCGTGGCCACCCTTTTCTTCCTGGGCACGTGAAAAATGTCTCGACTCCTTTTCGTAATGTTGTCTTCTAAACTCGCAGGGGAGGACGGCGAAGTCCGGCTGATCCTGGTGGGGAAGACCGGAGGCGGGAAGAGCGCCACGGGCAACACCATCCTCGGCTGGCCAGTGTTCAAGTCCATCCTGGGGCCAAAGGCCACCACCCTGAGGTGCGAAAGGGGGCAGGGAACCTGGCAGGGCAGGAAGGTCTCCGTGGTCGACACGCCGGGCATGTTTGATTCTGAAAACTACAATAAGTTTGTGCGACGCGAGATCATATCTTGCGTCAACTTCTCCGGGCCTGGCCCACACGCCCTGATCTTGGTGACCCAGGTGGGGCGCTTCACTGCGGAAGATGCGGCTGCCGCAAACTGTGTCTGGGATATCTTTGGGGCTGAGTCCGCCAGGCACACCATCGTCCTCTTCACCTGCCTGGAGGATTTGGGAGGGACCTCCCTGCAGGAGTACGTCCAAAGGTCCGACAACTGGAATCTGCAGGATCTGATCCGGCAGTGCGGGAACCGCTTCTGCGGCTTCAACAACAAGGCCGCCGGAGCTGAGCGGGAGAGGCAGGTCATGGAGCTGATGAAGACGGTGCAGAGAACCATCTTCCAGAACGGGGGGCGATGCTA